CTTGGTAATTTGACAAAGCTTGAAAAGAGGACTGGAGCTATTATTGACAGGGGGCCAAAGTGAGGCTTTGAAAGCAGCGGGCGCTCACAGCTTGCACCCTCTCTCTGTTCTGCGGTCATTGACCTGCTCCTCCTCACTCACTGTCACTCCCTTTATAGGTAAGGACAAAATCTAGATGTCCTTCCTTGAACAAAGGCAACAGGAGACCTTTTATTGCAAACGATCCTTGATTTTACATCTGTCTTGCTTTGGCTCATTTATATATATTACAATCATTATCTGTCCCTGAGGTCTGTTCATAAGGAGACAGTGATGGAGCTAACAGGCTATCAGGACCCTCCCAACTGTGGCTGTTCCACATTATGACGTCATTTTGATGTATAACACTTGAAATCACAATAAGGGTTGTAGCAATGAACTGAGAATAATTACCGGTTGCATTGTCCGAGTGATCAGTGTGCACATTAGTATTGTCTCAGACTCATCTGCTGTTGCCAGCCAGGATCCAAAGTGTAAAAGTAGCACGTGGCAGAGCTTCAGGAGGCTTGCTCTTTAAAATCAGACCAGCTAAGGCAAATGAATCTGGACACACTGCAGAAAAGCAGAGGTAAGCGTGACAAAGAAGTACGATAAAGGTTATGTGATATATCAAACAGCTTTATTACCACAGTATACTTTGCTCTCCAAATAAAAAAGCAGTGGTGGGTTTTCAGTTTTTTTGCCTTCAAAATGTAATCCAGCTGAGTTCATATCAGGGGCACTGTGTCGGAGGGAGAGAGGCAGAGAGAGCTTGGTGTGGGTTTGTGTACTTTCATCTAGCAAGTCTCACACCCACTCTGTCTGCCGATATGTTGTAGTAGGCACTCTGCAGCCAAAGCAGCAGCCTTTCAAAAAGGCTGGCTGGTCGGGGGCTGAGAGGGCTTACTGGTAAATTGGCAGCCCAGGGAATACCGGGTACTCTCACCCCGGCGCTCGCCCACTCACATGCTTTCATTCCCCTTTTTACCCTTGACCATTGACTGACTGCACTCTTTCTCTCTGGCACGCATAAATCTGCCTTTCTAAGATGTCATTTGTTCATTGTTTGTCCTCTCCCCTACTCTCCCTCACTTTCACTCTTTTTTTTAATCTCTCTCAGCTTTCCAATTGACTCAGAGCATCGTTCATTCAGGCAATCCATCTTTCTGCTCTTAAGTATATCCTCCCTTATCTGTGTGTCTCTCCTCGTGATTAATAACACTCTCAATCATCGGGCTAATTACATCCTTCAACAAAGGCAAAAAAAAAATACAAATGTGCACAAGTGTACACTCACTAGCCGCACATACTCTCTCGTGCTCATGCATGCATGCACTGTAGGCATACTAACCAAATCTGTTTGAAGTGAGGGACCCTAAAAGAAGAGAAGGCTCCTGTATGCATTAAGTATTCATGTGACGTGTGGTGGGGGGCATACATGTGCTTGTGTGTGTGTGTGTGTAAGGGGTTGAGAGAGAAAGAGAATACTCGCAAATTGCGCCGCGAGCAGCCAGCAATCGAGCGCTGACACCTCGTCTGGCAGTCGGAGGGAAAAGGGGCTGGGCTGAGGAAAGAAAGAGAGAGTGCGAGAGGAGGGCGGCAGTGAGAGAGGAGGGAGTTTGCCTGTGTGTAAGTGTGTGTGTGTGAGAGAGAGAGAGGCAGGCAGGGAGAGAGAGAGACACGGCAGGACAGCTGCCAGCATTTCTCCGATAGCAGTGGAAGGACCGAGAGGCGGAACAGGAGTAGGAATTCTCCTCATTCTCAGCCAGCCAAGGAAGTCTTCCAGTCCAGCCAAGCGTGCTGAATCTCTCCCCCTCCTCCCGCCTGTACGCAGCAGAGACTCTGGGAAGGAACTGGGCATCAGGACCTGAAGCCACTCACAGCAGACACAGCACAGTGGATTTACTTAATGAGAGACAACCATGCTGCCTCTGGGAAGAATGCAGAATTGGATGTGAGAGAAGGAGTGAAAGACCGAGTTGGAGAGCAAGCTGTTGCTGGGTTTCTGCATCACTAGACTGACGCTGAACTTTTTCTGGAGGAACAAGCATGGAGAGAGTTAGAGGTGCTTAAGTGGTGCATGAGCAGAGGAGGTGCTCCTTCTCATCCTGACCTTCTCCTTACCTTCCTCCTACAAAGCTCTCTGGACTACCTGCTCACTGTGAAGCTCCTGCAGGCTACTCCTCCTGTCTGCTCACCTCCACCCTGCCCCACCTGGCGCTTGTTCCATTTAGCTAGTATGACGCCCACGCCTCCTCCTCCTCCTCCTCCTCCTCCTGGTTCTCCCTCTGCCCCCCCAGCTTCTTACAAACCTCTGTGAAATCAAGTGGAACCTCGATGATTGCGATCGGAGCAAAGAGGACCCCAGTGCCCCAACTAGTGAGCAGCCCCGCCTCGCTCTGTTCTCTGCGACTGCATGTGCTGGCGTGTCAAATGTGCAAGTAATGGAGAACAGTGACAACACAGACATGGACCGCAAAGTTGAACTCTATCGGTTGTCCGTTTTTGGACTATAAGCATAAGCCAGATAATGGATTGGAAGGAGCTGTAAGTACACCATTGCAGCATGTTCTTTTCTGGTGCATGTTGAAACAAACCTGTGGTTCAGCTTGAGTATACACAGTGTGGGAATATTTTGTACAAACTTGAAAGGCACAGGTTTTCCTTTGAGCGTTTAGACCAAGTTGTGTAGGAAAACAGCTTCATTAGCATGGAGATTGGGAGTGAACAGGTGGACAAGCTGTTGTGGGCGAAGAAATCTGAGACTCCCCTCACCGCCTATTTTCCATTGACTGATCATATAGTAGGGAAAGGCAGCGAGAGGAAGAGGGAAGGAGGGAGCGAGGGAGAGATAGAGAGAGAAAGTGACAAGCAATTAATTTCCCTGTGCGCATGTGGTTGTTGTGGGGGGGAAAAAAACAGCAATATCATCTTTTTTTTCCTCACCTACCTTGAAGAACACACGTGCACCGGTCATCATTGTGCAGCATGAAAAAAACCTCAAGGTTACAAGCACTGCTTTATGTTGTGAGCAAGACTGTTATAAATCAGTACAGTATACTTGCCCTTTTCCCCTTCATGGTGACTCTTGATGCTTGATTTATCTCTTTGCTAGAAGAGGAAGGGGGACAGAATGAGGTGAACGAGAGGGAGTGAGAGACAGGGACAGAGAGACAGGGTACATTTATCTTGAATGAAGACTGCGGAAACCTCACATAAATGCGCATACACACTCTCCAGCCTGCACACACACAAACGTAGTCGCACGCAGCCACGTGTACTCCGGTGTAGTTTCCCCTTTCTCTCTCTCTCCATCTCACATTCATCTATTCCATCTCATTTTTTTTTCAGTCACACGATCCGTCTCGCATGCTATCACACATAGGCAGCTCCCTGGGGAGAGCCTTCTCCTGTAGCCTCCTTGGATGCAATAATTATTCCATCAGCCGGCAGTGTGTTCCCTGATTGTGCTCTTGGGCTGTCGCTGCAGGGGGCGCACAGTGGAGAGGGGAGTGTTGAGGAGACGAGGGGGGCCGGTTGTCACTCCAGGACGCAGGGAGAGGGAAGTGGAAGGGGGGGTTGTCTTTTTGTCAGCAGCCCACCCAGTTCTGTCCGGAGCCCAGAGCAGGGCTAATGAGCTCAGGCTGGCCTATTAGGAAACTGCTCACCGGGACACACGTGGCTCTGCCCTTTTTATGCTCTTTCACATGCCCTGCTTCTTTTACTTCTCCTTTTATCCCTTGCTCTGCAGATTTCTCATCTTTCCATCTCTCATTTTAATTTTCTTTTCATGCCGCTTGCCACTCTCTCCCCAGTGTTGACAATAACATCTTTGTCTGCCCCGCATCGCTATGAAATCTGACTGCTTTAATGAAAACCATTTGAGTGCAATTGAATTTCCTCAGAGTATTACTTTCCTCCCTGACCTTGAGTTTCCAGCTGAGGAACGGTGTTAGCTGATCCAGGGCGATGCCATACCTGGAACCACTCTAAAGTCTGGCCAGATTCCCTGCAGGCGGTGCAGACTTATTGGTGCTGTCCTTTGAGTTTCAGGAGGTTAGACAGAAAGGAGTGCATGTGCCTGATTCAGTTGGCCCTGTGACCAATCCATGTCTCCCTAGCACGACTCTGGGAGACAAGAGGCCAGGTTGATAGTGGATTTTAATTAGAGCACTGTCAAAAAGCTGGATTCAGTTACAGCTGAGGGTTCTGTTGGATGCCAGCACAGCAGAACTCATCAGGCAGACATGCCTAATAAAGAGAGAGTTGGGTTTACCTGCCTGGCTCTCAGCTGCTGGTTCTGGCCAACAAGTCTGATGGAAATGATCAAAAATCCCTTCAAACAGCACAAGCTTTGACTTAAAATAATGGGTGAACACTATTGTAATTGTTTTGCTTTGGTAACAGAGATAGACATGACTGTATCCCAGAGGGCAGCGTTTCGGCATTACTCTCCTGTCATGTCTATGACAATTGTTTTGTGTTTGATCAAGATGAATGCATGTGTTTACCACAGCCTTCATTTAGTCTCTGACAGGCAAAGAGCCTTGCCTGGTAATAACTTTTCTTATGGATTTGCAGTTTCTATAGCAAAATCAAGGTATAAGTGCACTCTACCTGCTCCAGTTGACGTGGAGGGGCTGAAGCATTATCATTCTTGGCAGGGGAGTTTGAGGTGGGAGTTGTAAGAAACCTCAGTTTTAGAGTGGGAAATGGTCGGAGTGGTGGCACCATGTAGCTCTCCTGCTGACATTGTTTTCTTTAGGGGAACTCAAATGAGATTGTTGACCTTTATGTTACTGTTTCAGCGTGGGATTTCTAAAGGCTTTGCAGCACACCCTTATAAAAACGTTGCTTGGTACCCTGCTGTGAGAAAACATAAGAGGACTACACAAAAAGATTTGCTTATGTATGAACTGTTTGGATTTGTGGTTTCTAAGTTTAGCTTCAACCTCAAAGCGTTATTTTTTCTCTCTTTGCAGGGCAGCTCAGAAGCTGAACCTGTCCTCTAAGCGGAAGAAGCACCAGCCCTCACTGCTCCACCCGCAGGAGCCCTCCATTTACCCCACCAACTTCAGCGGCATCCTGCAGGTCTCGCCGCCCGCTGCCCCGCCATGCCTGCTCCGAGCCGTGTCCAAAGTGAAAGAGAACCCAGGGATGGGAAAGGTGAGACTTGAATGCATAACTCCAATGCTTGTAAAGTACATAAACATGGAGACTCTGCTCATTTAAGCCCTATTAACCCCCCTGCTACACAACCACACCCACACACAGATCCACACAGACCCCTATTTAAAGGGGAGAATGCAGGGTGGTGACACACTGGTCCGCAGGCAGCGTGCCGTCTGGTCCAGTCCATGCAGATGCAGTCAGATAAGCCTACTGGAATGTCATGAATTCATGCCGTTTGTGAGAACAGCATTCCTCTGTCTGAAAACAGAAAGACAGAAAGAACTATAATCCACAACACTGAGGACACGTTGAACAGCAGGGTCTTTAATTCCCTTTTAGGTACAGTGTGCAATGATGAAAGTCAGGCTGGCAGCAGTAGGACGGTCATTAAACAAAGCTGTATAAACACATCGCTCTTCCTTTGTGGTTTATTTGGTATTGTTTGTCTGAGCGGCGTCCTGTATTTCTGAGGCAGAAGAAGTCCCCTAACAAGATTAGATCCCACCTGGATAGGAAGTGCTCGCTTCTGTTGTCAGGTATCAAGACGGTTGAGATTTTGACACATATTAAATCTTCCATTCAGACGAAGACTTCATAAAAACCAGTGTTATTAACAAGCCTACTCAAGCCCACACCTGAGGTATACTACACATCTGTGCCGCTAAAGGGGATGGTTTGAAAGGGAAATCAAGATTTATGACAATGTTTCAAGCCCTGATTTTCAGGTTATTGTAAAGCAAATACATCAATGCAAATTCTTTGTCCCTGTTTCTCTCTTTTCCTTTGTGGAATCACAGTGGTAATAACATTTGATGTACCCTACATGGTTTGGATTTAGCTTGTGACTGTTTTATATTCAATCTAAGACTCTGGTGAATGTCTTGTTTCCATCAACCGTATGTGTGTCACTTCCACTTTTGACCTCAACACAGTTCTTCCAGACATTGACTGTTGAGTGGTTAGAGGAATGCCAAGCCACACTAATGGATTTTCTGGGGGGATCAAGGGACACAGAAACAGGGCCATTAGCACAGAGTCCGAGGTGTGAAAATACTGCAGCCAGTCCTCTGTGGCCTGCAGTATCTGATCTCTGCCAACATAAATAAAACTGTGACATTAGCTTGCCTGGTAGCCTCTGTCTGGTCGACAGACACTCGGTAGTCATATGTAGAAGCCCAGTTTAAATGTCATAGCAAATGTAATTTACTCAACATATGCACACGTCAGTCACAATAACGGCTCCCTACGGAGTGTAAAGAGACTTTGCACTTGGCCTTCAGAATGCAGGATGAATTCACTCACTGAAAGAAAGGGATTTCCACTGACATTGTTTCAGAGAGCTGGAGCCTACGTCTGTAGAAATATTTATATACTAGTCGTGGGAAGAATGGGCCTTTTGTGTAGGCGTGAAGACGGTGGAGAGTCCCAGGCTGAGTGAGACAGTCTGTCAAAAAGAGACGGGAGTTAGTTTTAAGGTTTTTCTTTCAATGCCTGAGAGGCTTCTTAGGTATTTTTTCAAAAAGCTTTGAAATGGATCAGGATGGAGTTGCCTTTCACATATACTAAAAGATATAGAAACTGTTCTGTTGATACAATGCTAGGCACAACACTAAACACTCAGGGAGCTGTCAGGAGAGACTTCTATACATATCCCACAAGCTGTTCATGTCTCCTGTCAGTCACAGATACATTCCCACAGTGCCTTTGGAGATATATTCGAGGAGTATTTCTGACCATGAGGCAATATAGAGTTGTCAGCAATACAAAAGAAGGCAAATTGAAAGTAAAATGGATTGTCACAAGCACGGCCACACCCACAAAACACACATTCAGTACATCCTCACCGCATGTAGAGGCTGGAAATGGTTAAATGTGTGATTTTGTTTGTAAGAGGTGCCACTATACACAACTGGCAGAATGACCTCACTCCTGTAACCATGGCAATGACGTTAGACATGAATGGGCTTGTCAGAGCAGTGCCGAATCAACATCTTTAGATTTAAGCCGCTATCCTTTTTAGCGTGTCATGCGGGCATGATGAACTGTACCCTGACCTGTGGAATGTGTTAAGACTGTAAGCTCACGTTATGAATGTCACGCCCCAGATATGCAACAGGGTATGTTTCGAGCTTCTTAATGTAGAGCTGCCATTTTCCAGACCACAGAGGGGAGGGAGAGGAGAAAGAAGGAAGAGTATGTAGGTGGAAAAAGAGGGGGGGCCATATGCTCCTGCACTCACATGCTGGTGAGCTGCTACCGGTCCAGAAAAACAAACCCCGCTTCGAGGGATAATCCCCCAGCGTGGCACTTCACACACATTAATTTCCACCATTTTCTGCTGCGACTTTCAATACGCACTTTGCTGGTTTAGGCAGTGTGTTGACCCATCAGGTTCACCAGTCAATGGTAGACTGGGTGTTTCCATGGAAACCGCCGATGTCCATCAAATTTGACATAGTGGATGTGATGTTAATGCACAATGCAGCTTTCATTTTGGATACCTAAAACTTATATTTAAAAAACGTAACATACGTGATTTCTCTTTCCTCTGCTAGTGCACTGCCAGTAGAATTTGCAAAGCTCAGCCTGCAATTGTGTTACTCTCCGTGCTTAACCTGAAAAATGCTTCCTTAAATCCCACTCCGTCTGCACATTTTTCATGTTTTATGCTTTTTCACTTTCTAATCCAGCCTTTTCTTCTGCTTATCTACCTCCCTCTGTGGTTCAGGTGAAAGTGATGATGCGTATCTGTCCGTCCCTGGAGACTGCAGACTCCTCAGAGTCTCAGTCCTTCTTGAAAGTGGACAGCAGGAAGAAGCAGCTCACCCTCTACGACCCTGCGTCCAGCCCACACTCCAGCTCAGGACACAGGAGATCTGCCACTGTGGCCGTCCCAAAGATATTTGCCTTCGATGCCGTTTTTACCCAGGATGCCTCACAAGTAAGTGCCAGCAGGGAAGGTGTACTATATGTGTGTTGGTGCGAGTTTACCATGTTTTTTTTTTTTAAGGAGTCGTGTTGGAATTCAGCCTCTCAAGGGCAAAGGGATGTCTTCATGCTGGCAGGGTGTGACCGGGGGCTTAGAGAAAAAATGCCTGTCTTGGGTCAGGGGGCATTCTTACCAGTGTGGGCCTAACAGCTGGGCCTTTTAAGCCCCCTGGGGAATGATTTGAATCCACCCAAGTTATATCTAACCTCTCCTTTCATAGAACAGCTATATCTGACCTCAACCCTCTGTAACACACAGCAGGCATACCCACGGAGATCAAAGACAAAGGTCAGATACATGTTTACTATATGCAGACCAGTTTGGCTCTCTCCACAGTTTAAAACAAACACCATAGTCTTTTAATGGAATAATTGTATATATGTCACTCATTGCAACATTTCCTAAAAAAGAAATCTGAGGTCAAGTATTTTTTGCATTTCCCCATGGTGCTGTAAACTCTAAATAGCTATGAGAGCAGATGAGAGAGTATTGTGTCTCTGTAGCAATGAGAGCCTCAGATCTTATATCATGCCACCTACATGGAGCAAGTATTTTCCTAAGTAAGCTGCTGATAGCTAAAGCCCAAATGTTGCTGCTGGAGAGCTGAGGCCAAGCTGCTAGATTGTGCCGCTGGGACAGCACTGCTGGTGGCTAACAGTAGCGGCAGGCTGTTCTGCTGTTGGAGGTCTTGTTTGCAGTGTGATGTATGGGAAGGGGCCTCTGCTGCAAAAGCACTGCCCCAGAGGACCCATGCTGAAACGGATTGCAAAGAATGAGCCGCAAGTTGCAGCACACACACTCCTGAGTGATGAAAAACACTCAAACCATTAATGTGATTCTGTGTAACCAATGCATAATAACTGTTTAGTTTATAGGATATCGTTTTGGATTCATTGTTCTCTGTATGCCAGTTTGAAAGTCTTGGATGTAGTTAAACTGTAAATTGACTGTGTGGATGCTGTTTGTGTTTCCACAGGCTGAGGTGTGTTCAGGGACAGTAGCCGAGGTCATCCAGTCTGTGGTGAACGGTGCAGACGGTTGCATCTTCTGCTTCGGCCAAGTCAAGCTCGGTAAGCTCCTCCACTGGCAAGAGATTAAACAAGAGCCTTTGTTAGCCGAAGAAAACTCTCATTGCTCTTTGTTAGCTGCCCTTGATTGTCCACAATTGGCTTAGCAGTGCACTGGGGTGAGTCAAGGAATGGGAGATTGGAGGAAAGAAATGGGTAGTGAGTCCGGGTTGGGGATGAGGGGTAAAGTGCTGCATCCATGCTTCAGGGCTCAGTCTGTAATTAAAATCTTAGTAATTGGCCTGGGCAGTGCTCTCAGGCAGAATGACTGATTCTGGAATGAGTCCTTGGAGTAGAGTCTTTTTAGTTTACATTTACTGGATACTACCTCGAAAGCCCCACATCAGCCCCTATTATTATTTTTATAATCACTTGTATATTATAACCATCAGAACATATCTCATGTTCTTGTCTATTAGTTTTCCAACTCACTGTGCATTCGAGACAGCTTGATGAGAGAACTCATTTTAATGTTGAACATATAGTGAGAGTAGCTTGCTTTCAAGCACAAGGCAGTATTTCCATATTCATCCCCCTCTCTCTTTCACACATCCCCAGGCAAGACATACACCATGATTGGCAAAGACAGCTCCACTCAGAGCCTAGGCATTGTGCCCTGTGCCATTTCCTGGCTCTTCAAGCTCATCAATGAGCGCAAGGAGAAGACGGGCACCCGCTTCTCCGTTCGAGTGTCTGCTGTGGAAATCTTTGGGAAAGATGAGGAGCTGAAGGACTTGCTGTCTGACGTGTCCAGCGGCAGCCTGCAGGAGGGCCAGTCCCCTGGCATCAGTCTGAGAGAGGATCCAATCTGTGGCACTCAAGTGAGAAACACCTCTCCACTCTTTCTTTGTTCCCTGAGCCTTCCATTCTCTCTGTGGGTTTACAGTCTTAGTCTGACTGAGTATTGATCTTTGTCTGTCTATGATCCACCTCTTCCTCTCTAAAAGATATTTGACTTTCACTTGTGAGTGCTCTTGTGTGTATGTGTGTTTTTTCATCTCTTTTTGTACTTCCCAGTCCACCTCGCTCTATCCTGACTCTCTCTCAAATCCTCCCTTTATATTTCCACCAAACTCATCTGTGGTATTGATGGCTGTCTTCTTACCTTTGTATTGACTCCTCTGTCAGCATCCATCAGCATCTATTACCCATATGTTATTGCTGGCCCTCTGCAGCACAATAGAAGCATTATCGGGCGATGGGGGAGGACTGTATGATTGCAGGCACTCACAGGTGTCGCTGTCAGATGTTGTTTTTGGGGGATCTGTATGGACTTCAAAGGCTGTGTAATTCTGTGAAGCGCCTTCTTGCTTCGCCCTCTCAACAGCCACATGTGGGCTCCCTTCATGATGCCCCCCGCCTTCTCTCTCTCTTTTACCTCCTCCTTTGCCCCTCTTCTCTTTCTGTATCTCACCACCAACATCATCACATCCATGGTGAGGGAAGTGCCCCTGCCTCCTGCTCCACCATTACCTCTCCTAATCCTCCTCCCTCTGTGTGCATATCTGCTGTTTTAATCGCCCCCGAGACCCAATCTAATGGGCAAGAAATGTGTGCTGGGGTCCTACTAATTGGCTCCCGTCTCATTCTCTTTCCTCTCTTCCCTGGTATCCTTTTCACATCCGTCCTCTTTCTCAAGCCCTATGTGGCCTTCATTGCTCAACCCTAACCCTGTTCTCCATCTCTTCCTCCCCCCACAGCTCCAGAATCAGAGTGAGCTTCGTGCCCCGACGGCTGAGAAAGCCGCCCTCTTCCTTGATGCGGCCATCTCCGCACGCAGCACCAGCAGACCCAGCGTTGAGGAGGACGAGCGAAGGAACTCCCACATGCTGTTCACTCTGCACATTTACCAGTACCGCATGGAGAAGAGTGGCAAGGGAGGAAGTTAGTAGAAATGAATTACTGCATTTACACCACTAGCCATGTTCCAACAAGTAACCACCTCACATGTATGCAATAAACTACTTTGGTCATTGATCGATTATATAGCACTTTTACACATAGTTTCACATATGTATTCAAAAATAGAACAGCTGCAGTATAATTTCTTTAGATGTTTCCTCTCCTGATTACAGTTTTTCAAAGGGGACTTCCATTATACACTGAATGTAATAAGGTGATTTTGTGGTGATGTTGATGGCAGAAAAGTTTACTATAAGTATGAATAGAGCAGACAAGTCCCTTATTTGCAATGTTTATGGATGAATAGGTTGTGGGCTCTGCACGACTGAAATGTATTTGTATGCATGTCTTATGCTTTGATCAACAGCAAATTAAGATGTGAAGCCTCACTGACAGGAGCTTCATGTTTTGCTGCTGCACTAGCAATTACATCAGTCTTCCACATAACAATGTGCTGCCCTGTGATTTTTACAATGACAGCCAATTCCCTCTCGCTGTATTTTGAATCAGATGAAGAGGATGTGCCTCCTCGTTAACATGAGGTACACATCTGGTGTGACTTTACCAGTCAGGCTGCAATTTGAATCACTTCCGTGTGAAAATACTAACACAAAAATAAATCACAGAACTCTGACAATCTTCTGGGCTGAGCAGTGGCACTCCTGTCATCATAGCACTATGCGTGAGGAACTGACTTCAGAGAGGGAGTGTCTGGCCTGTGTTCACCTGGTTCTTCTTCTCTTTTTGGCACAGTGTCAGGCGGACGGAGCAGGCTGCACCTCATCGACCTGGGAAGCTGTGAAAAGGTCCTTAGTAAAAGCAGAGACGGAGGGGGAGGCTTGTGTCTTTCTCTCAACGCATTAGGAAATGTCATCATGGCTTTGGCAAATGGAGCAAAACATGTACCTTACAGGTAAGAAATGCACCATTAGTTTTACAGCCTCTCTTACTGTGTCTTAGCCTCTGTAAAGTTGTGTTATAAGTAATACTTTCAGGCAAGTTGCTGCATGTGTCATCAGTCTTGCAGGTTTTCTGTCTGAACGTTTATCTAGTTTGTTTAGTTAGCATTGTATAATAGCTTTCCCTGTTGTTGCACAAGATTATATTAAAGGAACTCAGGTATGACAAGACTAATGACATCAGCTCAGTATTTGTCAGCTCAGTGAACTTAAAATGGCTCCTCCTGAGCTCATTTCGGCTACCGTTATTGTTCTTTTGAAATACTACCATGCTGTTTGTTAATAACAGTGTTATGCACCCTGTAGGGACAGCAAACTGACAATGCTGTTGAGGGAGTCCCTTGGCAACATTAACTGCAGAACCACCATGATCGCCCACATCTCTGAATCCCCCGCCAACTATGCTGACTCACTCACCACTATCCAGCTGGCATCCCGCATCCACCGCATGAGGAAGAAAAAAACAAAGGTACAAGGATAGCTTAAAAAGCACTGATAAATATGAAGTAATAAACTGATATTGAAATATTGTATTCAATATGCATGAATATCAGTTGTACATATTTAGAAGTTAACAACATAGTTGTTCAGCAACTTCAATTACACTTCTAAATAATGATTTAGGTAATAGCTTTGCTACATCTAATGGTTTTGTTTATAAATGCAGAGTAATTGGTAATTCAACATTATATTTAAGTGTTGCTATAACAGCAATTACAATCTTAATGTGCGTGTGCCACTTTGATAGCATTAATCATATTTCATGCCACGACTCACGTCCCTAAATCTTTCATCCCCCTGCAATTTAGTAGCTATTAACCAAACGAATGTGTGAATGCTTCTGCAAATGAAAGATTATTAGTGCACTAACTCAGAGCTAGTTTTTCGAGGCTCCTCAACGCATAATCATGTAATCAATAGCACTGCCCGAGGAAGTGTGTAATACATTCCTTTGGATTAGGGAAATATATGCTCCAGATAATTAGGGGGAATGACAGCATGTATTTATTTGGTACCAGTCCCAGACATGATTATAACACAGTCTACATACAGCAGTTTATTGACATTAATTTCTGTGTGACTATTGATGTGCACTTTTAACCTTTAGATAAATATCGACAGGTAATTTCATAGAAATGAAAAATTACCCATTGATTGATTTCAATATGAAATCGTTGAGGAAATGAATCTACTAAGGATTAAAACGTTTTTGTAAAAAGGAATGAATGTTATATTAATAATGTAAGACGATAGAATCACATTACTGTCATCTCTTAATTAGAATATATTTAAAACCCAAAAGACTAACTTCTCTTCTGCTTTATCTCTGCTTTACACTTTACAGTATGCATCCAGTTCATCTGGAGGGGACAGTTCCTGTGAGGAGGGGAGGATCCGCCGGCCGCCCCACCTCAGGCCGTTCCACCCTCGGACCGTGGCACTGGACCCAGACCTGCCCTCCATGCTCAGTGACCCCGACTACTCCTCCAGTAGTGAACAGTCTTGTGATACCGTCATCTATGTGGGCCCTGGTGGATCTGCCCTCTCGGACAGGGAGCTTAGTGACAACGAAGGCCCACCTGCCTTTGTTCCAATCATCCCCTCCCTGAACAGAAGGAGGTGTACAAAAGAGGGCTCTATGGACCAGTTCTTTAAATGCAACACATTTGCTGAGCTGCAGGAGAGGCTAGAGTGTATAGACGGCAGTGAACAACCCACTGCCTTTGTTGGAGAGGTCAAGCGAGGCCCGGCTAGCCCCAAGACCGACATCTCTAAGGAGAGCGAAGGTTCTGCTTCCCCAAATACTGCAGCAAATAGTTCTCACACTCAAGAGGGCGACTCCGAAAACCAATCCCCTAAATCTGGTGCCACAAATCCGCCCTGCAGTCCCACTACAACATCTAAACTAGACAATGCAATGGCGCAATGCACACCTGCAGAAGAGGTACCTTCAGACAGTGTCCAAAATGTGTGCAGAACAAGCGCTGATGGTGAGAAAGCCTTTGTTTCAGAAAACATAGTTAGCGCGAATAAACTAACAACTGCTTCTGGGACTGACTCTGAGCCTGTGGTGAGAGAGAAGGTGTACTTCAACAAAAAAGCTTTGCCCAAGCCCGCCCCACCACCATCACAGCAGAGAGACCCCAGCAAGGAAAACACTGGCACTGTGGGAAGATCCAGCACCAGAATGCCTCCTGTAGGAATGAGCCACCAGGCTGTAAAAAGGCGGGATCCTTACACTTCCTCTCTGCTCAGATCTCCTGTGGAAGTGTGCCAGGTGCGCTCTACCTTTAGGGAAAGATGTCTAGATCGGGACATCCTGAGAGCCACTGTGACCTTGCAGCAGCCTGTGGAGCTGAATGGAGAGGATGAGCTGGTGTTCACCGTGGTGGAGGAACTGTCAATAGGTAGTCTTGTAGATAGAGATCGGCCATCCAGCATTATCAGCTTTAACAGTGACTGCTCCCTTCAGGCCCTAGCTTCTGGTTCACGACCTGTCAGCATCATCAGCAGCATCAATGATGAATTTGACGCCTACACATCGTCCATGGGAGGATCAGAGGTGAACATTGCAGTGGTCACACCCCTCCAGGAGGGAGCGTGTATAGATAGCAGGGGTTCATCTATCAGCTCTTGGCTGAGTGAGGTTAGTGTCTGCACCTTGGAAAGTGAAGGGGCTCATTCATCGGACGTCTTCCTTCCACAGGCCAAACACATGGGGCCAGAGGCCGCCTTTTACTTTGATTCCCTGGATATGTTTCATTGTGTCTCTTCTCCTAGAGATCCCAAGAACTCCCTCAATGACAGTGGGTTTAGTTTTTCAGAACATGATAGCGATAGTGCTGCCTCAAGCAAACTATCTTTGACAAAATGCCCCCCATCTCCGGAATCAGCCAAAGGCTCCCTCGGATACACATCTAAAATAACTAAAGCTCACTCGCTTAGCTCGTCCCAACTTCCCCAGGGCCCCTCCATAGTCCACTCTAGTCTTCCCAGGAAGATTAAACCTACCTCATCCATCTCTCATAGTAGTAGCAGCAGAGAGCCACCAAGGCAAGAGGCTAAGCAGGAGGATCCTTGGCAGCGCGTTGACAATCACTCAGATCCTCTTCCCGACTCCAGCAGCACCAGCAAATTTCTCCGAAATCCCCCCAGTGGTATCCCCACCAGCAAGACAACACACAACAGCAACACTGTACCTCGCCCACCCAAGGTGCAGGGGCCTACCTCGTCCCAGAGGGTGGTCGATGGCTGTGAGAAGTCAGCCAGCAAGAATCTACCCAGCAAAATGCCTCAGCTGAGACGAGGTGCCACCACCTTGGGAACAGTGCCCGTGATTCATTCTTCCGCAGACTACAAGGGATCTCAAGATATTATTGCATCGACCACAAGCCTTAAATACTCCTCCCTGGGGAAAAACAACAAGGCCATTTCACAGAAAGCGAGCAATCTCCCTAAACCTGGTTGCATCTCACCTCCCCCTCCTCCAGTGAGAAAGTCTAGTCTTGACCACAAGACTAAGATCCTGCTGCCCCAAAGTGCCTTAAAGTCAGCATATGGGGAAGCAGGACGGGCTTCTGGAGCAAGGACAGCTGTATCAGAGGATGAGCTTGAGGTACGCCACAGAGCAGACTCTACCAGTTTCAAAACCTCCAGTCTCAACATAGCCAAAGTTACCTCCAGCCTGAAGGCCAGAGGGCCTAGAGGAGCGGCTGGGCAGCATTATGGCAGTCAAATGTCCCTGGAAAGATGTGAAAGCCTGTCCTTATCTGGTTCCAGACCGACGCTTAGTAGGGAGAATAGTGGGACAAGCCTGGGGAGCGGCAGTAGCAAATCCAGCAGATCCATTCCTAGATTTGGAATTCCTAATTCATCCAGCTCTCCAATAGCTACCTGCCCATCATCGCCAAGTGGAGGAAGTATTAGCAAAACAGGTCAGGTTAAAGCTTCTGTGAATCCCAGGTCATTAGGAACCCTTAATAGTAGTAAGGCACGCTCACTGTCAGTCAACAGCTCCAAGGGCCTTAGCTCCTCCACCAAATCTTTGGCCGCCCCTGTGACCAGAAATACCAATGCTAACCTCCCTCCATCAGGACGGACATCAGCTCCTCGAACCAACACTGCTACTGTCAGCACTAAGCCTGGGAGAGGAACTATCATGGGCACAAAGCAGGCCATGAGAGCTGCCAACAGCCGTGTGAGCGAACTCGCAACAGGCAACATATCAGGCAAACACATAAGAGGAGCAGGAGATTCAGACAGCGGGAATGACAGCGGTGTGAATGTGAATGAGGACAAATCCCCGATAGCCATCCTGCCCTCCCCATACAGCAAAATCACAGCACCCAGGCGGCCTCAACGCTACAGCAGCGGCCATGGCAGCGACAACAGTAGTGTGTTGAGCGGGGAGCTGCCTCCGGCTATGGGCCGCACAGCTCTGTTCTACCACAGTGGTGGCAGCAGCGGATATGAGAGCATGATCCGTGACAGCGAGGCCACAGGGAGCGCTTCCTCTGCCCACGACTCCATGAGCGAGAGTGGCGTGTCGTCTTCAGGCAGAACAAGGAGCTCCAAGTTTCCCAAGAAGAGAGCAAATGGTGAGAATCTCATTTTGGGTTTTTGGGCCTTAAATGAGCCAATGCGAGTGCCGTTAGAGGTTACATTCACACCTATCATACTGGCAATAAGAGTGTTGGTACGATCTATCAAACAGTATATGTCCTTGAAGCTACACACATTAAATCCAGAAATAAATGCCCTCTCCTAGGAAATTAGCCATATAGCGCTTCTACCTTCATGAATCCATTCTTATTACATTCACGAATTGCTGCTTCATTGGATTTTCTCTCCTCCTGTATCAGCAGAATACATTATTCATACATATATGGGAAAATGATAATGCATATATCAAACAACACAACTTTGAACTGTGTGATAATCAAATAAGATGAGTTGTACATCACCAGCAATGAGCTGGTTCAGGTTTTTGCAACCCTGTATATATATATATAACCATTTGAATTCATGTGCATTAAACCAACCTGAATTCATTCAGGCTGTGTGTGTATCGAATAGCAACCCATGAAACCCTCATAAATATGCAATCACCACAACTCGGCTTGCCTATGTAAGGCCTTGCATCACTTTACATCTCAGAGTGAGACTCATACATATTTATTCATAAATCTCAGCAAATAACACCATTGTATGTCAACAACTCAACTGGTGCCTGTCTGACCTTATGCATGTATTTGTAGGCTTCCAGAGAAGACGACTTATCCCGGCAACCCTGCCAGAAACCAATTCCCTGGGGAAGAAGGTGGCCACAGCCGGGCAGTGGGTGGACTTGCCCCCTATGTCGGGACCTCTGAAGGAGCCTTTTGAGATCAAGGTGTATGAGATCGATGATGTGGAGCGGCTACAGAGGCGGCGTCAGGAGGAAACTGCAGAGGTAAGCAGAGGGTCGTCCCCCACTTGTTTTTCATAGTCGAACATCTCGCTGAACTTGTTTAAGATAATGTTGTGTCTGGGTCAAGGTGTCGTTAATCCCTCTTGCTAAGCCTCGGCCATACTTTCCATGTGCGACATTGATGCCATGCATGCCCAAGACGTGTCACATTGACTTGTGTTGTGGGAATGTCTTAGTTTGCTTCTTCCCAGTTTCTTTTTAAAGAACAAGCAAGTTATTAGATGTCTCAGACGTCTGACCTTCAGTTAGCTCAGTGGCAAATCCAGGAGTTCAAATGTCTGTGTCCAGATTCCCATAGCATGGTATTTTTGCACCGTTCCAAAGGAGTGTCAAGAGTTCAGGAGGCAATTACTGATGAGGGTTAATTGGTTTGGATATGAGTGATGACTCAGCTTACTGCTGATGCTGATGTGTGTGTGTGGGGGGGGGGGGGGTTAAGAAAGAAAAAAGGAGATGGTGTGAGAAGATTGGTCAGGGAATGTGTGATGAATGCAGGGGCGCCCAACACTAGCTCAAATCAGCTCACTGCTTGCATTCATCACTGGACGCCTGACTGCTTTTTATAGCTGACTCTTCATCTGTGGATCATTAACTGCTCCCACACGTTTGCTGCTGCCAGACAGGGATTTGTTAAGAGAAGATATTAAATCAGCCCTATGGCGGTTTGATTTTCACTTTCAATTAGGAGAAAAATTATTGTTTTTTTTCTCTCCCAGTCATCACTGCCCGAATGAGAATTTTGCTTTTCTGTGCTATTTTGAAATTAGCATTGGTGTCTCGTGCATCAGTAACCTTGTCTACAGTTTATGTATATATTTACACACTGTTTCTATCTGCTATTCATATAATATTCTGTCTTGTTTAACATGCTAACTTGTTTTATTTGTTCCCCCCCCCATTTTGTCTTCAGCAACCATTCCAGGATGTTGACAAGGTGAGCTCATTTTAATGGTGACCGAGGTTTCAGTATTAGCACAATAGGCTGTACTAAAGCAGTTATTATCATCATAATAATTCAACCTACAATTGACATCATACTGTAAAATCTGAACAATGCCCACATCACAGCACAACTCAGCTTAAGACTTTGTCTTAAACGTTTTTGAACAAAAATAACATTTATTCTTTGGGGGCAGGGTTATACAAGACTAACTATAAGTACTAAGGTGGCCAATGGTTTCTTTTTTAGGCTTTATAATGACTTTTACTGGTAGTTTTCCTAATTCATGCTGTGCCAACTTGAACTGTGTACTAATAGGCACTTCACTCAACTCATCTGTAATCAAACATCTTTGTATATCCCTTAGGGCCTGCTGTATTTTAACAATAAGCTGAAAATGTTAGAGAGAAGGCAACAGCAAGTGAGAGAACTGAGGGCAAAGTATGAGGTGTTAATGGAGGAGCTAGAAGACACCAAGGCCCGACTGATGATGGACCCCAGCAAGTGGATGGGAGAGTGTAAGTAACTGCTTAAATGTTCTGTTACTGTTAGTTGATAACTATATAATGTTAATTATTTTAAGACAAACTGTGTAAACAAACATTTGTTCCACTTTTTCAACAGTTGACGTGGACCAGGCTTTGGATAAAGAGTCTCCGGAGTACCATGAGGCCTTGGCACAGGCCACAGAGGAGCTGGAGTTCTGTGTCAATCTATGCAAGTCCCGTGTCATGATGGTGACCTGCTTTGACATCAGCATGCCAAAAACTGGTGCTCAGGATGGACTGCGTGAAGTCGAAGTGTGAGGACAAAAGAAAGTCGAGCTGGAGAAATGAGGAAGTGAGAAAACAAAGGATGGTAAAATGTAGCAGTCAGTGATTAGATATCACTGGAATGAAGAACAACAAGTGACAGAGATGAGATGAGAGTGGATCTTCGCATTAACAGAGGAAATCTTAAACACCTAGCTACAGTGCCTCGTTGCCTAAAGACATATTTAAATGGCAGAGATATCAAACGTGAGCACAAATGCTGTTGCTTGTATTGCAAGGCAGTGGCCATCACTTACTCAAGAGTCAATGAACAACACCTGGAAGTGCCTTTTGTATTGTTTTGTTTTTGAGTTATTCTTTTTCATATGGTGCAGGTATCCTTAAGCATACCTGAGCTAACCCTGAACATATTGCTTTTAAGAAAAATATTTTATATTGCATTGTATAGTGTATTTATATGATTATGTGGTGTGTACAAATATCCTTTTAAGGGAAAAATAAAGAGGAAAAAAGAAAAAGCAATAAGCTAATGTTATTGCGCTCCCAGACTTTGCCTTTTCTCTTGTTTCAAACCTCAGTCAGCATTTTATTCATGTTTATTCAGCCTCTTGCGCCTTATGTTAACTCTCTGGTTCTGTAGTTTTTTAGATTTTCATACTGGACTACGTTTTCTCATCAAGGACTGCATTTGCTGTTGTCGCTCATAGCCTGCCAGCTGGCCTGTGAAAGCTAGCAGGGTTGAGTGAATGTTTTCCCTCCAGTTGCCTTGATCAAAATGGGTCTCAGTGGATGTACTAAGGTAGAACAGCAGTTATATTGGGGAGCTGGAAGGCTTATAAAAGCTGTGCTTGCCTGTGTTTATCTCACTGAAAATGAGACATTACGCCAAAACATATCAATCAGAGGGCCACTGTAATGGATAGGGAGGTATTATTCTTGATTCAGCCATTCTCTCTGGTGCCTCAATGCAACATGTGGTCAAGCAACCCTTGGAGACCTTCCCTACACCAGCCTACGAGCAGGAGGATAGCATGATGAATGGGTACACTGATAGCAGTGAACCCAATTTCTCTCTAAATAGGCTTGGGGTGGGTGATATCTATACACTGTAAAACAAAGCAGCACACATGAGACAGCACAAGTCTACTGGCCTATTATACAATACTTTTTCAAGCGCTACCAAGCCTCGGCTCTATGCATTCCAATACATTTACTGCAACTACTGTAAGAACCTCAATGCTGACTTAAGTGCAGCAACACATTTTGGCATCTTTTATCCCTAGTTATTTTTCTTATTTTAAATAGTACAATTAACTAGGTTGATGCAGTTTCTCAAGAACTTTTTGTTTACCATGAGTTGATGCAGTGAATAAGAGCAAATGATCGGGACATTTTGTTTAGAAAATCAATCATGATATCAGCTCTTTGTAGCTGCCAGAATGTGTTTGTAATGATTCAAACGGCTGACGCAAAGAAAACAAAGATGATCGGTGAAAATGATTGTTGTGAAAAACAAACTGGCTTTGTTGAATTTTGGTATGTTTGATTTCTATATTTCTGTTGCAAATATAACTTTGTTTTCTTTCTTTAAAAAATATGTACTCTCTCAGGCCCTTTCTGAAGATGCTGCATGAGATTTTTTTATCATTTTTAAGAATGATTTCTACTCCATTTTTTACCATTCTAATTTTTTACAATAACTTCAATTTTCACTAATGTGGGGTAAGACTCATAAACTAAAAAAATATAACCAAACCAAGACCTTTTTTTCCAAGAAATTATTATATGTGGGGTCATATTTCATATCAAAACTCATATTTTCGAATATCTTTCTTTTTGTATAGGATTTTCCAACCCTGTGTATAAATGTATGATATGGCAGCTTGTGTTTTACTTTTACAGTTCCTGTGAATAAAATGTTTCTTCTTACTGACGATTCAGAGTTGACTTTTGTTTCCCAGATTCACATATATTCTATATTCATGGGATTGTTTGTTCACACACAATTGAACAGAAGATAAGACTGAAAGCACTTTATGTAAGTCTGCAATTTCCTACGGAAATCCAAACAACAATCATATGCGGCCTACTTGCTTTTTCAATTCCGATTGTTCGTCGTCCCATACACAACAGGTAGCTGCAACCTGAGCCACATAAGAAATGTTAAGCCATCTGACACAGGTGACATTGGTGTAGCGTGCTTACTTTTTCACACCTTCATTTTTTATTTGTTTAAAGCAATTTATTAACACATACACAATTTCCATTAGTTTGATATAAAACAACACAGTAGGCTCATGCAGAGGTGGAACAAATACTCATCTTGTACTTGTGTAAAAGTAGAAGTACCATGTAGGAATACTAAGGAATAAGTCCTGCAATCAAAATGTTACTCAAGTAAAAGTAGAAAAGTATTGGCATCCAAATATACTTAAAGTACCAAAAGTAAAAGTACTCATTATGCAGATTGGTCAATTTCAGAATGATATAAATCATATGTTTTGATAATTATAATTGATGCATTAATGTGTTTATCAAAGCTGGTTAATTTAATTATGTTGTATACTGCAGGGAAGCTTGTCAATCATAAATCCAAATCTCCAAAAGTAAATCTGTAAAAAACGCAGATACAATTAGACCCTTAATATTTTTCACAGTGTCTCTTCTGCCTGATTTGACCTTTTACTCATTGTGGGCGTGTCAGTCTGTTGATTGACTCATGCTGCACCTGAACACACCGTTTATTTCCAGTGTAGAGAAGATAATACAAATACTATATACGTCGTCTTCTGTGGATTATACAAGATTATTGTGTAGTTGTATATAAGATAAGCGTTCCAGTTGAATTTCGCTAATGTAATATGTCAGTGTTGTGAACTTGTGAGCACCAGAGCAACACCACGGTAGGCCTACTGGGATAGCGACAGAGACGTCAGAAAGATATCTCAGAACAACACCAACCACCAGATATTTTCAAGGCTAGCTACTACTAGAGGTAAGTGCTAAAATATCTGTTTACATGTGGTAAAATCGGTCGAACTGACAAGCTGCTAGCTGGTTGTGCACCGTTAGCATTGTTATTTGTAGCCACCATGGAGTTTTGAGACCTCTTGCTATTACTAGCGAGCATAGCTCTTTCCAACTCTAACCTGAGCAGAGGTCTAATCAGCCTTAATTGCAAACACCTGTGTGCCTGGCCTTTGCAGTATATTGCAATCATTCCATTAGTTGAGTAGGAACATAAGGTGCCAGTCAAAGATATTACTATTTTTCTACATTTGATTCACACCACACAGAGAACTCACCTTTTGCTGTTGAATTCCATCAGGATATAATTTTCCTTGATTAAATGACAGTATATCTCACTAACTCTCAAACTGTTTAGATTTTATGGACTGTTCCTAGAGGATGAACATACAGTTTTTGATGATACTTGACTCAACAGTAGCACATTGGTAAAAAATAGTTGATATACAGTAAAGGAAATTAGACAAAAAGAGGGGGTGCCGGTGTTATGCCGTAGATTGAAGCCTTGCCGTAGATTGAAGCCCTGTTCGCGGGGACGAGCAAAGTGACGTCATCGCCTGTATTGAGCGTTCGCCTAGTTTTCTAAGCGGAAAAACGAAAGATACTATTTACTTTCTCTCTTTTGAATGATATATTTCCCATCAGATTAAACAGCAAACGGCTGAATAAATAATGTGCATACAATTGCGTGGAGGCTCGTTTTAAGGACACTTTTCAGATCTGTCACAATCTTCGTATTGGAACAAACTTCCGTTTTTGAGTCCACTCTGTTCTGTTCCTCCTTCCTACAGAACAGACAATGACAGGATAATATGTCATTTGTCAGTATAGTCCTAATTTTTAAAACCTTCTCTGTTGTTTAAGTGTCTGATAACCACGAATAGTAAGCAATGATATAACAGTAATTATATAACATATGTCAGACACTGTGTTATTTTCAATCAAGCCTAAAAGATTATAATGTGTTCAAACTGGCTTCACTCGCTTGAATTGCTCCTTTGAATGTAATGTTCCTCTGTGGTTTCCTACTCAACACATGTTTGTATTGTAATGCCACTCATATTTTATTTTTTATTGTATTTTAAGGTGACATTGAATGCTTTGAAAGGTGCCCTAAAATAAAGTGTATTATTGATCTTATATCTGTGCCTATATCACACTATTAATGTTCCTTATTTTAGACTAGGTTAATCCTGGTGTCAATAGGGAAGATCTGCACTGTTCTCTACATAACATGTTCAGCAGAGCAGGTATTTCTCCTGCCAGATTTGGAACCCCCCCTATCATTTTGTCCAGGATGGTCATAGACTCACCAAAATCACACTGGTGTTTGCTGTTCCCCTCTAGTTTGTGCTCGCAAAAGTATTTTACTCTGGGCCCAGCAGGTGAAAAACTAAAGAGGGGCTTCCAAATCCGGCAGAGAAGGTGCTGCCAGATATGGCACCCCCTCTACAACTTTGTCCAGGACAGTCACAACTTCACCAAAATCATACTGGTGTTGCCTGTTCCCCTCTAGTTTGTGCTCACCAAAGTATTTTACTCTGGGCCGAGCAGGTGCAGAATTAAAGAGGGGCTTCCATATCCGGCAGACCAGGTGTTGTAGCTGCCGGATTTGGAAGCCCCCCTATACCTTTGTCCAGGATAGTCATAGACTCACCAAAATCACACTGGTGTTTGCTGTTTCCCTCTAGTTTGTGCTCACAAAAGCATGTTACTCTGGGACCAGCAGGTGAACAATTATAGGGGGGCTTCCATATCTGGCAGCCAGCCACAACACCTTCTCTGCCGGATATGGAAGCCCCTCTTTAGTTTTGTACCTGCTGGGCCCAGAGTAAAATGCTTTGGTGAGCATAAACTAGAGGGGAACAGGCAACACCAGTGTGATTTTGGTGAAATTGTGACTATCCTGGACAAAGATATAGGGGGTCTTCCAAATCCGGCAGCTACAACACCTGGTCTGCCGGATATGGAAGCCCCTCTTTAGTTTTTTACCTAATGGGCCCAGAGTAAAATTCTTTTGTGAGCACAAACTAGAGGGGAACAGCAAACACCAGTGTGATTTTGGTGAGTCTATGACCATCCTGGACAAAATGATAGGGGGGCTTCCAAATCCGGCAGCTACAACACCTTCTCTGCCGGATATGGAAGCCCCTCTTTAGTTTTTTACCTAATGGGCCCAGAGTAAAATTCTTTTGTGAGCACAAACTAGAGGGGAACAGCAAACACCAGTGTGATTTTGGTGAGTCTATGACCATCCTGGACAAAATTATAGGGGGGCTTCCAAATCCGGCAGCTACAACACCTTCTCTGCCGGATATGGAAGCCCCTCTTTAGTTTTTCACCTGCTGGGCCCAGAGTAAAATGCTTTTGCGAGCACAAACTAGAGGGGAACAGGCAACACCAGTGTGATTTTGGTGACAGTGTGACTGTCCTGGACAAAGTTGTAGGGGGGGTGCCATATCTGGCAGCACCTGGTCTGCCGGATTTGGAAGCCCCTCTTTAGTTTTTCACCTGCTGGGCCCAGAGTAAAATGCTTTTGCGAGCACAAACTAGAGGGGAACAGCAAACACCAGTGTGATTTTGGTGAGTCTATGACCATCCTGGACAAAATGATAGGGGGGGTTCCAAATCTGGCAGGAGAAATACCTGCTCTGCTGAACATGTTATGTAGAGAACAGTGCAGATCTTCCCTATTGACACCAGGATTAACCTAGTCTAAAATAAGGAACATTAATAGTGTGATATAGGCACAGATATAAGATCAATAATACACTTTATTTTAGGGCACCTTTCAAAGCATTCAATGTCACCTTAAAATACAATAAAAAATAAAATGAGTGGCATTACAATACAAACATGTGTTGAGTATGAAACCACAGAGGAACATTACATTCAAAGGAGCAATTAAAGCGAGTGAAGCCAGTTTGAACACATTATAATCTTTTAGGCTTGATTGAAAATAACACAGTGTCTAACATATGTTATATAATTACTGTTATATCATTGCTTACTATTCGTGGTTATCAGACACTTAAACAACAGAGAAGGTTTTAAAAAAATAGGACTATACTGACAAATGACATATTATCCTGTCATTGTCTGTTCTGTAGGAAGGAGGAACAGAACAGAGTGGACTCAAAAACGGAAGTTTGTTCCAATACGAAGATTGTGACAGATCTGAAAAGTGTCCTTAAAATGAGCCTCCACGCAATTGTATGCACATTATTTATTCAGCCGTTTGCTGTTTAATCTGATGGGAAATATATCATTCAAAAGAGAGAAAGTAAATAGTATCTTTCGTTTTTCCGCTTAGAAAACTAGGCGAACGCTCAATACAGGCGATGACGTCACTTTGCTCGTCCCCGCGAACAGGGCTTCAATCTACGGCAAGGCTTCAATCTACGGCATAACACCGGTCCAGAGTGATTAATTGCTCCATGTTTCAGGAGGGCCATCTGCTCAGTATGATACATGGAGTCCTGTGGAGTATTCCAACTGTAGATGGGCGAGTGTGTTGAGCTAGAACTTGAGCCCTGCTGGGCCATAACATCTTGCCTCCTCCTGGTTAATTCTGTTTTGATCAAAAGCATAAGAGGTTAATTTGGCGAACTTGCAAGACCAGCTGGTCACTGTTTCAAATCAAATTTTCTTTTTTTCTCTTGTAAGTGGTTTTGCGATGCTCTTTGTCACCTTGTGAAGACTGAGTTCTGAAAAATCATAAAACACCTTTAAACGCATATTTGACAAATTTGATGGAGGAAATTCTATCCTCTATAAAGGATTATTATGTCTCCAGCCTGCAGTGATTTGACAGGCAGCAAAAGCCTTTTGACGAATCTTTCAAGGTCCTGTCGGCTCAGACTGTACCTAGTTGCTGGTAGGAAGTCGGTGTCTGAGTGGAAACAGTTGTCTGGGGCTGCTGCAGACGTCTGATGGCTGCTGAGCACAGTCAGCCCTGTGTCCCAGCACACTTCGCCTCAGGGCTCTCATCATTAGCAGGGAGTTGGGTGTTGTAGGAGAATACAAATGAGTTCAGTGAAGAGTCAGCAGTCCCTCCTCACCCTTCACCCCAACCCAGCAGTGACCCTGGGTTTGAACTCTATTCACTCCTCTCTGAGTTTTTATCCAAAAGCAATCCCAATCCACTTGAATTCCCTGTCCATTTGATATATTTCCCTTTCTTTGTCTTTTGTTTCCATTATCGTCTGCTGACACGTTCAAAGTGGTTTCTCCTGTCAAATTGATTCAGAGCAGAGAGGAGAGTTCTCTTTGAAAAAAAAAAGTTTAAATCCTACAAATGATATTCTCTGGTATTCATAATTTCAGATGACCTCAAGACTGAATGTTAATTAGCTTCAGATATATTAAAGGAGAACAAGCTTTTTGAACCCTCATCCCTCTGCCTGCATCTGCCCTGGACATTGTTAGTGGTAGTAGTAGCTCACTTTTGGATTTACAGCCCTGCAGTAAGTCCCACAGATTGGTCTGTCGAAACCAAGCTTGCTCTTTGAAGAAGACCCATAAACCTGACCAAATACTGCCACTTATTCTCAGTAATTAAAACAAGCTGTCGTGGAGAAAAGTCCTTAAATTATCAGCGGCTAGGCAAGATGTCAGCCCCACAAACACAGTCTCTCTGCCTGCGTGGCCGTGCTTCAGGGGGGTCGTAACCATTGACATCTCCATCCTCAGAACAGATTGCATGTGTGAGGAGTTTTGCACCAAGACAGAAACCTTTTAAGAGTTGTAGTCCTGAAGGCTTCCCCCCCCCCCCCCCCCCCCCCCCCCATGTACTGTAAATTCAGGATGGGTGGCCATTCAAGACCAACAACATGCAACTGAGCTAAGATAACACCAGAGGCAGTTAATCAAACTGATGCAATCCATAATGTTAAAGTGAATTAATTAGCCTTTCAGAGACAACTTGAAATGATCTACCACGGAAGATTTGACCTTGTTTACTGTGTT